CAGTTCGAATTTCCTGCCATCGATCAGCTACTGGTTGTACGGTACCATCACTGGTATCACGGGTATCCTACTTGTGGCTATCATGAGTATCATCTATGTGTTCTCTGCACCAGCGGTCATGAAGCAAGCATATCATGCATTCAAAATCACGCATCTGCTAAATATCCTCCTTTATGCACTCACCATACTTCACGGGCTACCAAAACTTCTGGATGTTTGTTCAGTTTTCTTTTTTGAAAATATTTATCAAATTCATGCCTCACATTCACTAAATATGCGAGAAAGGGTTTTGAGGTCCACGTAACTATATTTAGAAATTAGGTTCAGATGACAAAAACGCTGTCACTCATGAAGATTCCAGACCAGTTTTCCAGCTTACATCAGATCTTCTTCACATTCGCTCACTAAAAGAGGCGGAAGCATTCAAAAGTAGTCCAAGCGACAACAATTGCCAGCAGTAATCACTCGCTAGCAAAGTTCTGAATGGCTCCCACTCTCGTTTATTTTTACAAGCAGGATGATGACGACTTACCTGTAGCAATTTGCCATGGAAACAAGCGGCAGATCCTAGTGACGAAGTCGAACCCTCTGCTGTACGGCAACAGCGCTGCTTACCGCTTCGCTATGCCATCAACCTATTTTACTCAATGTTAAATTTACAGATTAGTATGTAAGTGTAGAAGACAGGTCTAGGTTTCAAATTGTAATTAGGATTTGCCTTTGTCGCTCCTTGTAGATTTTCGAAATCTTAAATAATTTTTAGAGCCCAAAATTTGTCTATTATGTTTTGGGTCCAATAGCAATCTTCGTGATCGATCGTATCATTGGCATGAGGCAACAGTACAAACGACTACAGATTCTAAGTGGTGCCGTCTTGCCCTCAGGTAACTTTTAACTTTATTAGTCTCGCTTTCTTGAGTTGATGAATTTTACATCTTGCAGCACATCAGATTAAGAAATGAAAGAATCGTTGATGCTCAATTTTCTTTCTCAGCAGAGGATCGCATCAGACTAGGGTCAAGAAATTATGATATATAGGGTGGAGTGGTACTGTAAATTGAGATACAACAAATTAGGCCGGTAGAAAAAGTAGGTTAATGGAGAAGAAATACTATTAAGAGGAATAGAAACAATACTAATACTTACAAAGAAAGAGAAAAATAGTAGTAATACTTATTGCTTCCTTGAAAAGTTCTAACAGGAGTTGTGTTGCTGTCGGCGTCCTAACTGTGTCCGTCGTGCTCACTTCTAATGTTTCTAGGTAGAACAATCCATTTTTGCTATCCCGTCTTGAAGGTAAGATAATAAGCGAGGGAAAAATAATGTTTTTTCGGACTTTTGCAGACATAGTGTACATTCAATTCAAACGACCTCATTCATTCCGGTTTCGATCCGGTCAGTGGGTGCGCGTTTCCTGTCCAGCTTTCTCCTGCACCTTCAACGAGCTTCATGCTTTCTCACTTGCATCTGCCCCGCAGGCACCAACGCTAGAACTGTACATTAAAGCTGTTGGCCCATGGACGTGGAATCTTCGGAACGAGATTACATGTGCCCAGGCGAATGGGACACCATATCCTGTGCTGCATTTGCATGGTCCATATGGTGATGGAAATCAGGTTGCTTTCTTCATATATCTTACAGAAACTTAAGACTCAGTGTCGTTTTTTGTGGTAAAATTTTGGATTTTGAGCCACCGCTATTTTCGAGCATCACTTTGAATTCACTGTACCAAAATAGCTGGGATGACTAGTACGGAGAGGGACATGCAGTCATGCGCAGTTGTGTCGTAGCCCTCCCTTAGGTCACTTGCTTCAGTTGCTGACCCGTTGTGTTCGGAAATTTTAATAATTAGTTCCTTGTTTTAATACATTTTAGGATTGGCATAATTTCGAAGTAGCGGTGTTGGTGGGCGGTGGTATTGGCGTGACACCATATGCATCGATACTTACCGATCTGGTACTCGATAAGTTATCCGAT